AAAAAAAAAAAAAAACACAACTCTTTGCAAAGCAGGAGTAGAAGTGGGCACATGCTAACAATTTACAACAAACATACTTGAAGGCGAGATATTTAGAAGCAAAGACTTTCCAATTGTGAATGAGATGGGGTGCCCAGTATCACTGTCTGTATTCAGTGTTGTTGGGGAGGTCCTAATGGACACAGTAAAACAAGTAATAGGGGTGTAAGGAGCAGCAAGGTTAAAACAACCATTATTGTTCTCAGATGATGTAACTGTGCACATAGAAAACCTCAAAGAATATGCAAATAAATTATTAGAATTATTAAGATACTTAAGCAAGTTGTTGGATCAATGAACACAATCATTTACATTACTACAGTCCAGAAACTAGAAAACAAAAAAAATTCCACTTACACTAACAAAAAAATATATAGGGTATCCAAAATAAAAGTAGCAAATGTGCAAGAGACTCTCTACCATCACAGCTCCAATGGCTCTAAATTTTCAACCACTGTTTCCCAGCAGAACATCATAGCTTTATTTTTATTTATTTTTTTCTTTTTTGTGACTGGTAAGGGGATCATAACCCTTGGCTTGGTGTCACCCGCACCGCGCTCAGCCAATGAGCGCACTGGCCATCCCTATATAGGATCCGAACCTGCAGCCTTGGCGCCGCTGCGCTCCCGGCGCCACACTCTCCTGAGTGAGCCACGGGGTTGGCCCCATCATAGCTTTATTGATGTCTTCCTTCGTTTCTCAGGGTCTGGATAGTATGTACCTCATAGCAAGTTTGCAGCTCCAGGTTATCTGGAAAAAGCTTTACGCTTATATAAATGATATCATCCTGCCCTGTAACCAAGGTTCAAAATCCCAAATAACCATGGGAAGACAGTGAACTCAGAGAAATGCATGCTAAGCTAGGCTTTATGCTTATCTTATATTCTGTTAGACAAGCGTAGTCCTATTTCTGGGGATTCAGCCATCAAGTTTGCCTTGCAAACTGCCTCCAAGGCTGAGGCCTGCTGCAGTGCTAGGGGAAAAGGATCAAATATGATCAAATGTGGGGAGTCCTGCTGTTACAGACTGAACAAAATTGAAGCCCAAGACAGCAATGCTCAGGGTCCTGGGCAGGAGCCAAGGGAAGCCACCCCCTCTGCCCAGAAGGAGGCAGGACAGCAATGCTTGGGGTCCTAAGGCAGGAGCCAAGGGCAGCTGCCCCCTCCACCCAGAAGGAGGCAAGAGAGCACACCAAAAACACATTCGTGCAAGTGGCCAACCACAGCTACCACTGCCACAAAAGCAGTTCAATGCCACAGCCACCATGCAGGTGGCCCACCAGACACTTAACTGCATTGGCATGAGGAGGGTCACCAGCAGAAAAAGAAGAGGACATTTCTCTCCTCAAAGCCCACTCCAGAGTGGTAGAAGAAGCAACTGCTCTACCAGATAACAAGACATCAATGTAGAGATAGTAGAAATATGAAAACCCAAGAAAATATGACACCACCAAAAGAATACAGTAATTCTCAAATACCATACCCTATAGAGCAGGAAAGCCTTGAAATGACTAAAAAGGAATTCCAAACAACAATATTAAAAAAAACTCACTGGGATACGAGAAGACTCAGACAACATAATGAAATGAGAAAAAAATTCAGGATTTAAAGGGGAAAATTTACAAAGAGATTAATACCTTAAAAAAGAATGTAGCAAGGGCCGGCCATGGCTCACTTGGGAGAGTGTGGTGCTGACAACACCAAGGCCATGGATTCAGATCCCATATAGGGATGGCTGGTTAGATCACTTGGGAGAGCATGGTGCTGACAACACCAAGTCAAGGGTTAATTAAAAAAAAAAAAAAAAGAATGTAGCAGAACTCATGGAACTGAAAGATTCACTCAGTGAAATAAAAAACACAACAGATAGCTTAAGCAACAGATTAGAGCAAGAAGAAGAAAGAATTTCTGACCTTGAAGATAGTCTTTTTGAAATAACCCAGAAGGACAAATAAAAAGGAAAAAATAATTTTTAAAAATGAAGAAAATCTGGGCCGGCCCGTGGCTCACTCCGGAGAGTGTGGTGCTGATAACACCAAGGCCCCGGGTTTGGATCCCATATACAGATGGCCGGTTCGCTCACTGGCTGAGCGTGGTGCTGACAACACCAAGTCAAGGGTTAAGATCCCCTTACCGGTCATCTTTTTAAAAAAAAAAATGAAGAAAATCTAAGAGAGCTAGCAGACAACCTTAATCACACAAACATTCAAATCATGGGCATTCCAGTAGGGGAGGAAAAAGAAAAAGGCATGGAAAACCTATTCAACAAAATAATAACAGAAACTTCCCAGGTATAGGGAGAGACATGAACCTTCACATCCAGGAGGCTCAAAGATCCCCAAACAGATTCAACCCCAAAAGATCCTCTCCAAGATACATTATGGTCAATCTGGCAAAGCCAGATTTTTTTTTTTTTTTTTTTTAGCTGGTTCTTTTCTTTTCTTTTCTTTTACATTGTAAGATGTTGCAGAGCAATTGGTGGGGGATGGGGAGTGGGGAAAGGAAAGGAAGATAGGGTGGGAGGAGGAAGAAGGAGGAACAGTGGGGGCATGGTCGAGGCCCGTGGCACCCCTCTCATTCTGGCAAGGGAGCCCAGGGAGCTTCCAGCCGCAGCTCGGTGGTCATCGCTGGGCTGGATACAGATGTCAGGGGGGCATAACTGAGGACCTCAGCCCTCCCCTCACCCTGGCTTGGGAGCCTGGGGGTCTTCCAGTCCTTCTAAGTTTTATAGGTGTTTTTTGGTGGTGTTAGACCTTTACTGGTTAATATCAGAACTTTGTCTCTGATCTGTGGGGTTTTTGTTTTGTATCTTTCAGTTCTGTGTTGGATTATTCACTATTCCCACCACTTAAACTCTTGTACTGGAACTAATTTGCTGTCCTTTGGTTATTTCTAAAATGGGGGAACTTCCTGTGGGAACCATCACTTGAGACCTATGGTTGGGATATATTGCTGTTTTGCTGCTGATTCTCTGGGGAAGACTTTTTGTGCAGCTCAGGGTGTAATTGTTGACCTTGTAAGCACTTCTGGGTCACATGAGGTCTGATACACCTGGGTTGTGTGGAAATTCTGGTCTGGGCCTGACCTTTTCAGCAAACTACACCCCCTGAAGTTCTATATTCATGACCAGTCTCCACTGAGTGGTCCTGTGCTGATGGGGGCAGATCAACTGTCCATGCTGTGCCCCAATGTTCCCCCTGTGGGCCTGTTTCCCCCACCCCCTGCACTCCAAACACTTCCCATGGGGTGAGCCATGTGCCAGTCCCTTGCGATGACTCACCAGCCCCTGAGTGGATCCTTTTTTCAGTTGTCTGTGGCCCCTCACCCCTATGTGGATCCACAGGAACCCTGTTAGTGGTCTTGCTGGCCTGGGGGCCACCAAGGCCCTCTTCTCCCCTGCAGTCTCCAGGCAACTTCACACAAAGGGCACAGCAGTGGCTTTTGCCAGCTCTTGCTCCCTGTGCTCACCAGGGCCAGACTTAAAATGGTCAGGGCTCAAAACAGTTGGAGTGGTCCTTTCTTCCTCTCATTGTGGCTTCTCCCACCTTCATGAACTCCGTAGGTCTCTCCTCCTCTTTCCCTGAGCTCTAGCAGCCCCAGCTTGGCAGTCATTGCTTTTTTTTTTTTTTTTTTTTTAAAGATGACCGGTAAGGGGATCTTAACCCTTGACTTGGTGGTGTTAGCATCACACTCACCCAATGAGCTAACCGGCCATCCATATATGGGATCCGAACCCGGGGCCTTGGTGTTATGAGCACCGCACTCTCCCGAGTGAGCCACAGGCCGGCCCAGTCATTGCTTTTTAATAGTTGTAAATTGGTTGATTGTGGGAGAGGGTGATGCTGGGGACCATCTATTCTGCCATCTTGACCAGAAGTCCAAAGAGAGACTCTTAAAAGGAGCAAAAGTGTCAAGTCACCTATAAGGGAGCCCCTATCAGACTAACAGCAGACTTCTCAACAGAAATTCTACAGGTTAGAAGAAAATGGGATGATATATTCAAAATACTAAAAGAAAAAAAAGTAGCAACCAAGAATACTATATCCAGCAAGGCTGTTCTTCAGAAATGAGGGGAAAATAGTGTAATTTCCAGACAGACAAAAACTGTGGGAGTTCCCAACCACACAACCAGCTTTACAAAAATCCTCAAGGAAGTCCTGCATCTGGGATCTGAAAAACAATAATCCCTACCACAAACACACAACAAAGAACAGAACCCACTGGTAGGACAAAAATGCAAGTGAGCAAGAAAAAGAAACTAAATCTCACCAGCACAAAAAACCAAAACAACAATGTAATAATGCCCCTGCTTTATTTCTGATTTTGGTAATTTTGTTCTCTTTTTTCTTGGTCAGTCTAGATAAAG